TCCTGTGAAAGCTGCTGTTTATAGTAATCACTATAACAGAACCTAAGAGCTCTCCTGGAAAATCCAAGTTGTGCTCTTTGCCGTTGATCCCGATGTATAAACATGTATAGGTGCTCCCATGCCTGAACACCACAGATGTATGCGCACGTCACTTTGCGTTGCTGTGGTCATTCAGCATAGTCCAGCTGTAAGTCTAACGATGCATTTCTCTTGGAACTTAGCTGGAGTTCGGCGTTGGAAAAGTGCAGATGAACTTCCTTCATTTACTGAGCTCAGAAGCAACCCATAGCATCACGGTCCATTGTCTGAACACACCAATGTGGAGATTGAGTACAGCAGGTGGCCAGAAAACGTCTGTTAGCTTCAAAGGATGGAATGGTCAAATATTTAAAGCAAATACGCTACTTGAACCAAAGGTGCTTGTGGATGAATGCATGGTAAATATTTTTTAGCACTAACATTAGTAAAACCATAATGGAGTTGCTGTTTAGACATTAGTAACTGTCTGCAAATACGTAACAGTGATTTAGATTCACATCTGTTAAAGTTTACTTCTTACATTGTTCTTCATGTGTCTCTATATGCCAACCTTTTGATACTGAATTCAACATCTACCCAATGTAGCAATTGCAGTAACACAGGATATCTATACTTGCTGTTCGCCTTGAGTGTCATGTATTTCAAGACTCTACTAAGACACTAGGGAGAGATCAGAACAGAAAAATTCAGTCACTCTCAAAATGAAAATTCATGCTTCAGTAAGAGTTCTGTTGAGGTTACCTAACCCCAAAGGTCATGTTCAAACAAAAGGAAGTTAGTTTTTGGACAACTAAATATCTTTAAATTCATTGACTGTGAGTCAATTGTTTGGTTATTTAATTAAATAGTGATGACTGGAAATGGACTCCATTGCTAACTAAAATATTAAGTTGTATTTAGGAAAAATTGGAAGAGCTTATTAATTTTCTAATGCCTACTAGATTGCTTCACTTACCAAGATGGGGAGCCATTTGGTAAATGTCTTGGTAGAACACTGTGAAATATAGGAGACAGCACTTTACACTTTCAGTATTTTATAACTCTTGTAGTTATTTTATAACTCTGTAGTTACAATAGTGAAAGGCGTGAGACTGGTTCCATATCGATACAGAGGTGTCAAGTCAGATTTTTAATCTCAATAGAACTGGTTTTACTGAGGCACTTCAAAGCTGTTATCTTTCCTCCCAGCCTATTTGGGACTGTTTCAATCCCTGAGAAAAATTAAGGCATATAGTTGGTGGCTATTGAGAAGTGCTATTTTTCTATGAGATTCTACAAGGTCTGTTGCTCTGTCTGTGGGAAACTGTGTATGATGCTGCAGACTCTCACACACTTCCCTCTCTGCAGGGATTTCACTTTTCAGAGGTGCCCACTATACTTGATGGATTTTAAGAATGGAGTGATTGCAAACATCACGACACTCCCAGCTTCAGACAGTGTTACAATGTTATTTTGTATTTTTACAATGTATCAATTTTTTACTGAAATTTTTAAAGAATTAGAATAATCAATGCAAAGTTCATGGCAAAACTGCAGCTGTCGTTTGCCGTGATTACTCTTCAAGGGCCTACAAAGGCATTCAGGTGCCTGTGGAGTTCAAAACCTGAGACCTGTTCAGATTCTGCTCAGGTGGATTTAGCAAGAGCTCTAGGAGTCTGTACAAGCCCAGGACTGCTTGCAAAGTGACAGGCGCTCAGCTCTGAGCTGTGTTGCACTGAGTCTGCACCCACTCCAGATGGGTTCCAGGCTGGGCTTTTTTACAGTTACAGTTTTGCCAGGAGTGCCTGTGGTATTGCATGGGAGAAGTGGCATTTGTTAAATTACAAAGTTCCTTTAGGAATTGCTGCGAGAAGTGTTCATGTTTGCTATTCCTCTTCCTCTCGCTCTCTAAACACAATTTCCATTTGTGTTTTGAATCTCATCTTTGACGTGAATCTTAATATTTTGCTTCTGTGTGTTGCAGATTGAAGACGGCAGCTGGCACAAGACGCAGTTCTTTTTTCACACTCAGGACACTAATCAGCTTCCAGTTGTTGAAGTTAACGCACTTCCTCATCTCAAACCAGGGCAGCAGCACTTCATAGAAAGTGGTTCGGTGTGCTTCCTTTAAGGTTTCTTTTTTTGCATCAACATGAAATTGCTGCATAGTTTGAATGCAAAAGGAACAATACGTTACAGGCAAAATTACTAGGAAACTGAAGAATCTTTTTTGAACAGTGTTGGTTAAAGAACCTCAGGAAGAAGAATACTTCCTCCTAAGGAGAAATGGCATTGAAAAAGATAGAAAGAAAGGACTACAACAATTTTCATAAAGTATTTTAAAAACATCGGTTGGTGCTTTTTTGCATTAATTTCCTGGAACTGAGTATCTGAGCATGGAATTTTTCAGGACCTCTAGTGTTCTTAGCAATCTCTTTAACAGCACTGCAAAAACATAAAAAAACCAAACCATCCTGAGGAAAGCTAGAGACATACAATACTAAGGAGCAATACTGGCTAATGCTCCTAAATGTGCAATAGCTTATATATGAAAAGTTAATTATGCCACAGTACAATATGTCTTCTTTTCTTAAACATTGTTTTATTATAGTCCATTGTGGACACATACATCTTAACAGATGGCACACTACCTCTTTTGTGTTTCCTGTCCATGTTGCCTTGGTGCTCTTCATAACACAAGGTGCTTGTGGCCTTATCAGAGATTATTTGAGTCCCTTTTTATCTTTCAGACTGTATGTGCTGGTTACATCAGGATATGTTTCTGTTGTAAAGGTACTTATTCTAAATCATTGGTCATATACTTCACTACAATTAAAACATTATTTATGTGGATTTCTTGTTTAAACTATTTTTGTGTACTGTTGTGGAAATGGTATATGAAACAGCACATTGTATATGATGCATATAGTCAGACCAGTTAGCTTTACAGCCATTGTGAAAACTATTGTAGAAGAAATACCTACAGTAGTTTTGAGTTTTAGATCCTGTATTTCAGTTAACATTTCTAATGCCAAAGGCATCTGAAGATGATATATTGTGTATATATTTTTTAACTTGTGAAAAAAATCTACTACAGCATGTCTTCTGAACGGCTGCTGTTAAATTATAATCAGCATTTCATCAACCTAGAAATTCCATTTTTCGCAATATTACTAGATCACTTGGAGTTGTTTAAATTAAGCCTAAACTGTTCAACCACCTTTATTAAAAAAAGAACCATTTTCATTAGGAAAAGCACTCTTTATAATGATATGCCTCTATCTATTATGAATCCAAAGTGTGCTCGGTAGTACATGGCGGTGTGATACCAGACTTCACTGGGGAGCAGAGGGGTGTTCAAACAACTTGTTTAACTGTCTTGATCCACAGGAAACCATACTTACCAAAGTATAATAAAATAAGCTTCCAAGCTATCAGTTTGTCTTTTACTATTCTGTTTTGTATTGCATAATTCATTCTTGGTGACACTGAAAATCCTCTAGAAGGGTACTTGTTAGGTGGCCAGGCTTCCTTTACCCAAGGGAAAAAGCACACGCTTCCTGCCATGGAATACTGAGGGAGGGACGGTGTTCCCTTTGACAAGGTAATGTACATGTACATCCCATCTTGCGTTTCGTATCAAAGCATTGGTTTTGTTCCCTTTGAGAAAATCTGATAAAACTGGAGGCAAAGCAAGATGACGGTGATGATAAAGGTTAGAGAAAATGCCTCACTTCTTGCATTTACAGCATCACCTGACATTTGCTATTAGTTTGCCTGTGGAGCTGATGTTGTGACAAATGGATTATTTATTTTTTGTAAGAATATCATCTTTTAGAAAATGTTCTGCTTCGTGTACATTAGTGTCATTGCCCTATTTTTGGAAATTCTTTGTAACCTATATTTATAGTTTATACTAGCATGTCTCAGAACTTTCCTATTTTAAAAAGAAATAGCTTAAAGTATTATGAAGCTGCTCAGATGTGAATGTGTGTGTTTCTGCCGCTGAGGCAGAAATGCCCATCCTGTGCAGGCAGCGCAGTCAGCTCGTGCCACGGGACACTGACAGGTAACAACGTGCTGTGTGGCTGGAGCTGCAGGTTTCCAGAAGCGGTTGGCAGTGTGTGTTTCGGAAAAGCTCTTGGATTCAGACATTGTATTAGGAAGAATTACTTTACTGAAAGAGTGGTCAGGCACTGGAACAGCCTGCCAGGGAGGAGGTGGAGTCGCCATCACTGGAGGTATTTAAGAAACGTGTAGACATGGCTCTTCAGGGCATGCTCTAGTGCCCGAGACTGTTGGTTTGTGGTGGGGTGTTGTGTGGGGGGTTGTGGGTGTGGAGTTTAGTTGGTGGGTGGTGTTTTTGGGTTTGTTGGGGTTTTGTTTGTTTTTTTTTTAATGTGGTTGGACTCAATGATCTCGGAGGTCCCCTCCAACCACTAAGATTCTGTGATTCTGTGATCTCTCTCTGAATATACTGAGTATACACGTATAGTGAATATACTCTAGTGTACGGGCTGGAACTGCTGAAGGCGTTCGCAGATCTCATACAATTTTGTCCCACCATATTAACAAGTACCTGTAGCCTGCAATTAATTTTTTATGCTTTCTGAGGTGGTTGCCTACTTTGTTACCCTTAATTTTAAAGCAGGGCCTGATCTAGATTACAAGAGTCTTTGCCACAGTTCTTTTATCCTTCTTCCTTATGTTTCATGGTTAAAAATTCACTAAGAAGTGGGGCTTTGAAAGAGCCTGAAGCGGGATGCCTACAGCCTGGAGGCCACAGGACGCCCTCAGCGCGGCGGGGGAGGCAGATCTCCTCTTGGCTCCGTACTGAGGCGGGGGGAAGCGGCGCCCTTCGCCCCTGCCCTTGCGGCGCCGGCCCGCGGCGCGGCAGGGTGAGGCCGCTGCCGTCCCGGGGCCGCCAGGCGGCGCCACCGCCCAGGAAAGGCCGCGGCCGGGCCCGCCCCGGCCAGGCCCCGTCGGGCACCGCGTGGGGAGGCGGCGCCGCGCAGCCATGGCGGAGCTGGAAGGCCCCGAGAGCCCCCGGCGGTCGTCAGGCGGGAGGAAGATGTCCCTGCAGAGGTAGGGGCGAGGGCAGGGTGCGGGAGCGCCCTCAGGTGTCCCGCGGAGAGCCTCCCGGACGGCCGGGCCCCGGGACCGCCTCCCGCGGGCTGCGGGAACACTCGGGGCCGCCCAAGGGGAAGGCTGCGCCGGCCTCTCCGCACTCAGCGCCGCCGCCGAGGGCCTGCCGCGGGGGTTCCGCGGGGCCTGCTGGGGCCGGGCCGGGCCTGCCCCGGGGAAGGCGAGGGAGCCATCCCCCAGGGCACCCCGAGGGGCGCTGGGCCGTCCGCTGAGCTGCAGCCCCGCGCCTCCTGCTTTGGGCTCCGAAGGCCCGCGTTAGGGCTGGGGTGCGGGGCCGTGCCGCCGTGACAGGAGCGAGGGCACCGCTCCTCGGCAGTGGGGAGCTTTGTCCTGGGGAGCAGCGTCTGCCTCTGCCTGTTAGTTGGGGTCTGTGGGCCGCTGGTCTGTGGCAAAACATTCATAAAGCTTGGCTGAGAGGTTCCCTGACTTCGGGGTTTGCAGTGCTAACAGCCAGAAGAAGTTTTGCTGACGATATTATCCTGTTTTTTCCTGTGTCAGGGAAAAAAAGGGATGCAGCGTTCAGGTTTTGGTGTGAATCCTCAATATTTAATTTCCATCTGCTTAAAACTAGGAGCACTATAAAATAAGCCATCACGGTACGGTGCACATTGCAGGTGGTGTAATGGAAAAAAGCATGGATGCAACCAGGCTGTGAAGCATTGGCTGGTACAGCCTTGCTACACTTCCAGCTCTGCACCTAGCGTAGGGATTTTCCCTTTCTTTCAGGTATCTGTCCTGTATTTTAATATAGGTAAGACCCTTGTATGGGTTTGGAGATATTTCCAATGGCTTGTGTTATTTTATCTCCTACTTTATCTAATCCTGGGTATTTGTATTTAATTTTTCTTCTTTGAAAGTTCAGACAATGTTTCCTGAAAATGCAGACTGATGGCATAGTGCCTGGTTGTTGAGCAGGCAGCTGCCCAGGCCGGTCAGGCACAAAGGTCCTACTTTATTAAGAGGTACATTTTACTTCTTTCAGGTGCGAAACATGTAGCAAAGAGGAAGCTAAGTACAGATGTCCACGATGCATGAAATATTCCTGCAGGTATTTATTATCTGAATTAAACGGTTTGGGGTTTTTTCCCCCCAGTTGGGCTGGATGTGACATGTTAATGCTTTTCTTTTTGTCATTTCAGTCTGTTGTGTGTAAAGAAGCATAAACTTGCACTGAGCTGTAATGGAGTCAGGGATAAAACAGCGTTTGTCTCTGTAAATGAATTTACTGACTTGAACCTGTTGAGTGGTAAGAATATTCCTTGTACTTCTTAAAATTCATTGTTTTTTATGAAGTTAGTACTACAGTTTTTCCTTGTTCTTTTTTCACTTTCAGATTATCGCTTCCTGGAAGATGTAGGAAGGACAGCTGATGCTGCTGCTCGGCATCTTGCTGTGCATCGTCCGCTACCGAGAAGACTTGTAAGTTTAAAATAAGCAGTTTGGTCTGTTGGAGGTAGGGTTGACTACCTTTGAATTCCCATTGAGGCAATCCCAGCCCAGATTTCAGAGCTGATACCTCTCTTATGAGGTATGAATGACCTGAATTTTGGAGCCACAAATCAAAACAAGTCTCTAGGTTTATATAATAATAGTATTGATGGTTACACCCACTTGCATAGAGGAATAGATTGCTAACAGTGTACATTCTTAAAATCCACGCCTGACTACTCTTGCTGTTTGATGATAGATGTATGTTAAGAAAGCCTGGATGTTTTCCTTCCGCAACTGTTTTTAGTTTTTAAGTACAATATTTCCAGGTAAGCAATGGATTTATTAATTTCCTAAAAATTATTGCATGCTTCCCTATACACCAAATGAAGGGAACGAGAGTTCTGCAAACATGGAATTTATGCAACAATGAAGTAAAAGACGGCTTTCTAAGGGTGAGAGGGATTTTACATTGAAATTCCTCCAGTTCTAGGGAAGCTTTAATGAGATCACAGAAATGTATGGCATTTCCTGAATGACGATAAGCTGCGAAGACCAGGATCAAAAAGGAAAAAAACAAACCTAGAAAAACAAAATCAGGTCCAAAATACTTTGATTCATTAATACATCACAGAAGGGCATCAGGGTCATGTCGTTTTCCTGTCTGGTGAAGATAGCTTTAAACATAGCACTAAACTCAGTTGGAGAGAACTCATGATGATGATAAAGTAGATTCAAAAAGCTGCAGCTTTCTCTCAGGCTGAAGTCACGCTCTGTGTGTGCATTTATCATCATGATACCTTGAAAACGTGTGCTGAAGATGGTGAGATGCTACATAGCTAGCAGTTTTTAGGATGTGATACCAGACATGTTTATGGGACAATATCGTGAGTGTTACCTGCCAATTAGAATTTGTCAGAGTGGCTGAGATGGTGCTTGTGCATCCCTTCTGCTAGTGGGGTTGTAGCCCAAAAACCAGCTCTGTGGGTAGTACTGCACCCACAGTGGCTGGCTGGGACTTGCACGGTACGTAAAAGAACTTTTATTATAAAAAGGTCATCGCCATGTTGATTAATAACAATGGAAAAACTTCACCTGAAAACATTTCAGATAGTTTCTAGGCTTACTTTATTAACTTATTCATTCATTAAGTTTTTTTAAAAAGTCAAAGAAAGTACTTCATTAAATGTGGCCTTTTCTACAATTTTCCCGTAATTCCTGTCAGCATGACTCTTAATGTTTAACTTCCAGGTTTTGAATATATTCTTCAGATTTTTTTTTAAAAGAATATTTTTATTTTTTTGCCAGTTATCTTTGAGAAACAAAGCTCAGAAGTGCAATATTGACCTGAGAATGCTGCCCATTGGATTTACAAAAAGAAGAGAAAATTCAACCACCTTCAATTCCACGTGAGTCTTCACTTGATTATTGTCAGCAATATTTTGTTTTCATGGAACACACAATTAATGGGAGTCTGAATTCATACCGATATGCTTTCTTTTAAAATCTTAGATGCATGGGGTTTTTTTACACAAGCTATCTAGATTTAATATTTTGTGCTGCAGGTTTTAATTTTTTAGACTTCTTGAGCTCAGTTTAACAGCTTATGCAATTCATGCTTTATTTTGAAAAATCCCAACATTGAATAACAGGAGGAAAAATCGGTGCTGTTGTGTTTTTCCATCTTTTTATTAATATTGAGTTTTGTTGCTGGAAAAAGAAAAAACTTCTTCAAAGGTTTATGATAGAGGACTGATGAGAACAATTGTGAAAAATCCCTCTGAAAAGACTGGATTTAAGTCTGAAGAGATACTTCCAGTACAGTTGCCTCTGGTGGATGCCATGGTAGGAGTTGCAGTGCTGGAGGATGTGGATGCTTGGTATGGCACAGCTTAGAAAGACAAGTGCAGACAGACACAGATTAATTAAGGAAAAAGGCTAAGAAGACTTCATCCACTCTGTATTTTTTCTCTGATATCCAGAGTTTGTAATTTAAACTATTTTCACAGTAAAAATAAATAAAACAAAAATTACAAAGTATTTTGTTACGGCAGGAAACAGATCTAGAGTTCAGCTCGCTGATCTACTGGGGGCAAATATAAATGCCTTCTGAGCTTCTGGCAGTGATCAGCTGTGCCAGCTGCCACTGATGGTTCCTCCACTTGTTGTCTTCATGGTCTCAGTTTTGGTGGCAAGTTCTGTTTTCAGGATGCATTTTTCCCTCTCTTGCCTGAGATGTACAAGCCGTGCTGCCAAGCGCAGTGTCGGGCAGGGGAGCTGGTGGTGGCTGGCCGCTGAGTAGCCACCAGGTGTCCCTCTCTGACAAAGTAGGAACCAACCTGAAAAACTGCTCAACAGACTTGCCTCTATCATTTCTTCTGTTCTGCAGTTTTTTAATTTTGTAGATATCTTAATTTTTAGCAGAACGTAAGGCGTAGCATAGATTTAGAAATGTAACCTTTTAAAGCTACGTATTTTAGTGGTTATGATAGAGAAAACCCAGAGTGGATCCATGGAAAGAAAGGAAATCTGGGTCGTTTTCTCCTCCCTCTACCTCAAATTTATACAACGCTGAGGCTCTCTCACAGAACAGACCAGGGGGTGGCCCCAAAGCTTGCAGGTGTTAGTCATGTTAGCAGAGGCTGTCTGCCTCTGCACCAGCTTTCTTTTCCTTGGCCACATGCTCTGCCTTTTACAGGTATCTTGGTGCTAGTCTCGTGCTGCTCAAGTATCTAGGCTTAGAGCGAGTTTAACTTTCCTGGAGAATTTCTTAACATTGTGGACAAAACAACATAAACATCTTTAGGAGTACAGGGTAAGGAGTAGTCTTAAAGAGCCAGAGCAAGTGCAGAAAGCCTAAAGGTGCTGGTATCAGAACAGAACAACAGAAAAGACACAGATACGGGGAGGTTTGACACTATTGGGAAGATCCTGGGCATGATACAGTGCTGTGCTGACAGAAATTTGCCTTCGTGTAACCTGTTTTTCAGTTCTTTTTCTCTAGAAAGCCTTTTTGGGTACATACTGCAAATAAGTGCAGAAAGCCTAAAGGTGCTGGTATCAGTAGCTATGAGAAGGACAGAACAACAGAAAAGACACAGATACGGGGAGGTTTGACACTATTGGGAAGATCCTGGGCATGATACAGTGCTGTGCTGACAGAAATTTGCCTTCGTGTAACCTGTTTTTCAGTTCTTTTTCTCTAGAAAGCCTTTTTGGGTACATACTGCAAATATATAGAATCATAGAATAGTTTGGGTTGAAAGGGACTTTTAAAAATCATCTAGTCCAATGCCCCTGCAATGAGCAGGGGCTCATTCAACTAGATCAGGTTACTCAGAGCACCATCCAACCTGACCTTGAACACTTCCAATGACTGGGCAACCTGTTCCAGTGTGTCACCACCCTCATTTCCTGTTATCTCGTCTAAACCTATCCTCTTGTAGTTTAAAACCATTACTCCTTGTCCTGTCACAACAGGCCCTGCTAAAAGGTTTGTCCCCATCTTTTTTTTTTAAGCCCCCTTAAGTATTGAAAGGCTGCAGGAAGGTCTCCCTACAGCCTGCTTTTCTCCAAGCTGAACAAGCCCAAACTCTCTCAAGCCTGTCTTCATAGGAGAGGTGTCCCTCCCTGTGATCATTCAGGCCCTGCTAAAAGGTTTGTCCCCATCTTTTTTTTTTAAGCCCCCTTAAGTATTGAAAGGCTGCAGGAAGGTCTCCCTACAGCCTGCTTTTCTCCAAGCTGAACAAGCCCAAACTCTCTCAAGCCTGTCTTCATAGGAGAGGTGTCCCTCCCTGTGATCATTCTTGTGACCCTCCTCTGGACCTGCTCCAACAGGTCCATGTCTTTCCTGTGCTGAGGGCTCCAGAGCTGGTCACAGTACTCCAGGTGGGGTCTCACCAGAGTGGCGTAGAGGGACAGAATCACCTCCCTTGTCCTGCTGGTCACACTGCTTTTGATACATCCCAGGATATGGTTGATCTTCTGGGCTGTGGAGCACACATTGACAGCTCATGTCCATCATTTCATCCACCAGTACCCTCAAGTCCTTGCCAGGGCTGCTCTCAATCCCTTTATTCCCCAGCCTGTATTGATACCGGGCATTGCCCTGACCCACGTGCAGGGTCTTGCATTTGGCCTTGCTGAACCTCATGAGGTACACGTGGGCCCACTTCTGAAGCTTGTCCAGGTCCCTCTGGATGGCGTTCCATCTCTCAGGAGTGTCTTCCTCACTACACAGCTTGATGTCATCAGCAAACCTGCTGAGGGTGCACCTGATCCCACTGTCCATGTCATTGGTGAAGATGTTAAATAGTACTGGTCCCAATATGGACCTGAGGGACACCACTTGTCACTTGTCTCTGTCTGGACATTGGGCCATTGTCCACTACCTTCTGGATGTGATCAGCCAGCCAGTTCCTCATCTGAAGTGTAGCTTGTGTTGGGAAAATGTTGGCTTTTAGCAGATCATGCTTTCACACGTCATGTACTTTAAGTTGTTCAACAGAAGCAGATTTAAAAACTAAGAGGATGGGGCAAGGAAGGTGACTTATTGGAAACAGGCATGGAAGTATTTCACAGGCTGGCAGGGAGAATGCCTTACTGTTTTTTCTCAGTCACAGAGTCCTGGGGTATTTCTTTGTTGTTGCTTTGGGATGCTGACCTTTCTGCAACTTTCACATGCCATCAGGACGAACATGATAACATCCTCTGCTCTTAAGAGAGTAGGAAGTAACTCTCTGTTTCTAGTAAATGCTGTCCAAGGGTATGGATATGCTCAGTGAATATTACACAAAGAACATGTTTTCTCTCTTTTGCTGCTACTGTTTTTCACACAGCAATGCACTGTTTGAATTCAGTGATAGTGACTAAAAACTAACCTTTGTTTTTTGTTTGGTTCATTGGTTTGTTTTTATTAATTGGTATGTTTTGCTTACTCTCCTTACGTGAGTTCCTGAGGAATCAATCCCCACGTTTGATTGAACGAGTGAGTTTCAGCCCTACAAGGCCTGTCTTGTGTGACTTCATAGTTTTGTTGAATATTACATTCAAATGGATTAAAGCTGTGCAAATAATTGTTTTATATGAACTTAACACCTGACAGTGGTCAAGGTGTGGTGTGTCTTCTCTTCTGTAGATCTGAACCCCTTCTCGTGCTGTTTGCAGTTGAGATTTCTGTATGGATTGCTCCAGAGAGTGGAGGTTAGAAGCTGCTCTACAAATGTGTGTGGAAAGCTGAGAACAGCCCTCTCTGATGTCCTCTTCACGCTCTCCATGTGAGCCAAGCTGTTAGGCTGTACCAAGCAGGAATGAGAGTAATCCAAAATTAGGAAGTACAAGATGTATTATTGTGTCATCCCCTGCCCCTGCCAGCTCTGGAGGACAGATCAGTGGCTGTTTAGATGTGTTAACCAGACTCTTAGTTTCCTGATTTCCGTTAGTTTATTTGCTAAATTCATTGTTGTGAAAACATACATGCCAGTGCTGGGCATCACGTGGATTAGATTAACTTGTAATATTGAATATCTAGGTAACAGAGGGTCATTAGAAAGTGGAGTCTGAGTCCCGTTTGTGAACTTAAGGGACATCTGATTTAGAGATGGTTCAGGACACCTTATTTGCAAATTATTTTTAATGCATTACTTCACCCTACCTTTCCTGTGGTGCCCTTATTTTCCAATAGAAGTGATGGTTCCCCTTCTGGATGCATGCTGCCGTGGAGCTGGGATGTCCTGCTGGGAAAGGGGTGGAGAATGTGACCAGGCTGGGACGAGGGCTGGGGCAGGAACTGGGGAGCTCTGGGGAGCTCCAGCCGGCAGGTCAGACGGGAAGAGGGGAGAGAGCTTGCAGCTCTGTGGCTCCTGGTTCCCTGGTGGGAGACGATGAGGGCTGTGAGACGCTGAGAAGGTACAGTGCAGGTCCCTCAGCACTGCAGTCTGTGCTGCCCTGCTCCCACCTGCCCTGCTGCTTACACTGCCACAGGCACCTCTACCCTCCTTCCTCCCTGCGCCGCTCACAGCACCTCCCAGACAAAACCCTTCTTACCTCCTCTCCCCGCCAAGAGGGGTCCCAGAGCTACCAGTCTCCTCACCAGAGGAAGGCATGCCTGCAGCATGGGAGCATTGAGCCAGAGGATATGTGTGGGAGAAGAAAGAGTCTCTTTCATTCTCTCTCTTCTTCGATTCAATTCTGAGAACAAAATATAGTATGGAGATTTGGGATTAGCATCAATTAAGAGCTCATTAGTGTTACAGAAGCTACTTTGAGGTATACCTGAAAACCCTAAAATGTCAACTCTAATCCTGAGCTAGGTAGAGGTCATTCAAGTTAAGCATTTTGAGTGTTGCTGGTCTTGAGAATTTATCAAGGAGTTATCTGAGCTGGGTGTTGGACTGATATTATACTGTTG